TTTGCACTGATAGAGATCATTCTAAATGGAAGAGTTTTAGAAAACATTTTTAATTCCAAGACAGGCAGCAGGAACAGAGGGAATTAAATTAGTTGGAAATGGATATTTTCTGGTATACACATGTACATGCATAAGGGCATACTGTCACAAGCACATATGCGTAGTGTTCATTTTATACAAATAAATTTTCAAATCTTCCAAAACTCCTTCTCTGAGAACTTTTTAAAAAAAATTTTGCTAATGGAATTGTATGTAAAAATTTTCCTTTTTGAAGATTTAATTTTTTCCAAAATCGATAGCTATGAAGCTTTCAAAATGTTTTTTAATTGTGATAAAATATATATAAGATAAAATTTATCAACTATGTAACATGCACAGGTCAGTGGTATTAATTTTACTAACCTTGTTGTGCAACCATTACTAAGATCCAGCTCTAGATCTTTCCTTCTTGAGGCCTGTAATTTTTATTTTTATTGTTCCTCTTTCTCTCATATGAGCAGGTCTTAGGAGATACAATTGAGGCCAGAACTGGGAACCAAAAGTATGCAAAGAAAAAGGACATCTTTTATTTCTTTTGGACTGAGGTAGTGCTGCTACAAACTGCTACCTACCAATACATTAGGCAATCTCCCTTTTCTATTGAGAGTAAAACACAGAATAATCACAATAGCCCATAATGTTCCCTATTGCTAAAAATTCTAAAATTCCATTTTCATAGTAAGATATCAGAAGAACAAATGAATAAGGAACTCCACTAGGTAAAAATCACTTTAGCCTGGTAGGCAGATTTCTTAAAGGTACAGCTCATATCATTTTCGTGTTTCATATTCATGAGTCTGAGAATAAGGAAATACAAGGACTTTCCCCTCTCGCTTCCTCTGAACCCTTAGGCATCTACCTGTCAAGGACTGCAGGCATGCTGAGCTCTCTCCTTTCTTGCCTCAGGTGTGTAGGAACTTACTGGTGTGGCATGACTGGTCTCCTGAGATAGGAGAAATAATGGGCTTTTTATTGCCAGATCAATTTTGGAAAGAAAGATTGGGCATCCATTTGTAACCATGTGGACTTTATAGAGCCCCTCTGGTTGTGGTGTTGGCCTGGTGCAGGCAAGGCTCAGCAAACATTTTCTGAAGAGGGCCCAGTGCTGAAAGTTTGGGCATATGAGCCATATGGTCTCCGTCACCACTCCTCAGCTCTGTTGTTGAGGTATGGGAGCATTCACAAACAATACAGAGCCCTTGGATGTGACTGTGTTCCTGTAAGATTTGTTTATGGACATTGAAATTTTAATTTCATATGATATGCACATGTCAGAAATAGTCTTTTGATTTTTTTTTCAACTGTTTGAAAATGCAATCACCATTCCTAGTTTATAAGTCACATGAAAACAGGTAAAGCCTGGATTTGTCTCATGAGCTGTACTTTTCTGGTCCCTGATATAAATTAGGGAAAACAGGATTCCAAGGCCTGTTGACAAGATCTGAATGGTAGTCCTGGTTCAGGTTCTTTCTCTGCCAAGTATTAATCACATAACCTTGGGCAAGTCACCAAACCAAGTTTCAGCTTCTCTGCAGGGGGAACACCATTGGCCACCTCACAGAGAGGAGAGTCAGTGCTGAAGTAGGACACAAAATCGTGATTCAGCTGCTCAAGCTCTGAGGAGCCTCGATTTTTTTCTCTCTGGGAGCTGGAGAACATTTCAGCTGGTGGTATTCAAATAACTACAACAGCTCAACTTATAACGGCTCAATTTATGATGGTCCAACTTTTTATTTTTCATTTTTTTTTCTTTATGATAATGCAAAAGTAACACACACATTTAGTAGAAACCACACTTTGGATTTTGAGATTTGACCTTTTCCCAGGCTAGCAATGTGCTAAGATGCTCTGTCAAGATGCCATATTGCAGCCGTGGGCCTCAGCTCCCGTCAGCCGTGTCAATGCTTGGGGGAACCGACCTCACTCTGCAGGGCTCTGTGCTGCTCAGCTGGGACGGTCGGTTGGTAGGTTAGAGTATTAGATGCATTTCGACTTACACTGTTTTCAACTTGTGATGGCTTTATCGGGACATAATCCCATTGCAAGTCGAGAAGCATCTATGGATCTGATTTTATTAAAACAAAATTTCCAGTTTATTCCAGGTCTATTTACTTCATCAAAGTAATACTTTGTTTCTATCAAAGTAATGAGCCTTCTAAGAAATGACAAAACTTCCTAAATTCCAGGCTCACTGAGGATGAAAATTCCCCATATGTTTTCATCAGACACACAATAGAGGTCTTATGAAGTGATGGCAGCTCTGCCCCACAGTGAAGTTCAGCAGAGCTGGCAGCTTCTATGGGATTCTTTGTTTTCCCAGGGGGAGGTAAATTCTTCCTTCAGGAACCCATGCCCTGAAATTCAGAAAACCGCCAAAATGACAAATCATGTTTCTTCAGGGCTTCTTAAATATCATTAAAGCTAGGCCCATTCAGCTTGTCTGACATTTGGTGAAAGCCTGGTCCTGTAGCCTCACCTCTGCCTATCCCTGATGAAAGTCAAGGTCAGGATTCCTTACCCTGCCCTCCCACACCCAGCTTTCAAAGAGTCAGGCACAGGTGGGTAGTGGGCCATGTTTAGATCTTCCGTCCCTCAGAGAAGATGTGGCTCATCCCCAAATAAGGGCACAAGGAGCTTCTGCCAGCCACCCATCCAGCTGTGCTGATGAATGCAGTTGTGGGAGTGAGGGGCTAGACCCTTATAACTGCCCAGACCTCCTAGGGGGCTAATGAGGCCAGCTGGGTGTTAGTGGGAGAAAGCAGCAGTGAAAGTCAGAGAGGGCTACCATGCTGGGTCACAGGTCGCATCACTTGATGCAGAAATCATGTTGCACCACTGTACTGTCCTAGTCGGGGTAACAGGGCACCAGCATGGCAAGGCACAGTGGGTCTATCTGCAGAGCCAGTCAGGGTGCTCAAAAGCATGAGGTCCCTGCAGGGCTCCAGGGAGGGGATTTTGAGAAGCAGTTTTGACTCACACTCTGGCTCTCCTCAGGCACGGAGGCAGCCCCACCTGTCTGTCACTCATCTCTCGTGGTTCAATGAGAGGACTTAAGAAATGTGCAGCTCTGCCTTCTATGAACCAGTGCAAATCCAGAGGCTGGATATGTTTACCCTCTGGTGACTTATTTCTAATGTTCGTAGGGTTTGGAAAAAGAGCAGTTTGATTCTTACACCAGTATGGATAAATATTCTCCGTGGGTGGCGGGTATGTGTTTATCCATTCACATGTATACATGTACTTGAGAGCCTGCATATTTGTTGGCACGTGCATGTGCGAGCATGCACACACACACACACACACACACACACACACATTGTGGAAACACCCTTCGTGTCAGTAATGTGGGCTTCTGTTTAGGAACAGAATTAATCAAATAAATATTGTTCTTTCCAGTTTAGGGAGGTCTGGCCTGGAGTGTTTCTATTTTTATTTCATTTGGCTTATTTGCCACCCACATTCCTAAAAGACAGCAGAAAGAACATTTTCATTTCCTATGTGCTAGCTGGAGCTCACATTTATTTATAGAGTTTGGAGAACTTTAATTTTTTTTTTTTAATCTGGCCACCCTGCCTTCCTTTTCAAGTTCAGACTTTCCTTGCTAGCCAGCGAGGAAAGACAGTATCCCTGCCTGTGGACCTCCCTGCAGCATGTCCCCATTACTGCTTGCACCTCCCCATGTCTGTGGCCCGTGTGGGTGTGGCGGGGCTGCTGGCTCAGACACCCAGCTGAGAGATGTGAAGATACAAATGAAGGTGTTCAGCAGGATGCCTTGGGATACAGATGGGCAAGTTTCAATCCTGGTGACCCTAACGACTACTTATGTGACCTTGGCCAAGGTGCTTACCCTCAGATCCCCCTCTCTAGAGTAAGGACAAGACCTCTTGCCACCCAGGACTGCTATAAGGACTGATTGGAAGAATAATGAATGTGCGACACCAAACACAGTGCCTGGCACACAGGAGAGACACAGGGAATGACAGTTCTCTATGAGGAGAGGAAGACACTTTTGTTTATCAGTTAGGGTTCTGTTATCATGGCTCTATCTTGCTCACTCTCCTGTGGCCTGCTACTACTTTATTCGTTCTTCCATCCAGCCATGTATCAAGCTACTTTTAAATGTGTGTGTGCACACATGTATGTATGTATGTATGTATGTATAAAGCCTTGTTCCAACAATTTAGGGTCACTACGGTCAGTCTCCTACTGGAATTCTTCCTCAGTTCCTGCCAAATGACAACTAAATGACAAAAATAGTTTTGAAAATAATGTTAAGGCCTCATTCCTGACCCCTGGCAAGGAATGTGCTCTTAACTCGATGGTCAGTTTGGCCTCCTCTGAACAGAAGCTTCCAGCTGAGAGGCCCTGCCCTCTTGACAGCTGCAGAGGAGCTAGATGCTCCTTGCTTCAGAGGCCCCAGGGCCACAGTGAAGAGCTCTGAGTCCAGGGCGAGTGTGGGTCATGAAGATTCTCCCTGGCGGCACACAGAGCTCCCCACCTGCAGCATTCCCCCCACGGGATCCTGGGAAGCAGCTAGGAATGGTACAGGAGAGCATTCTGTGTAGCCAGGCTGCATCCTCATACTGCCCCGATGGAACTGAAGACTCCTTAGAAGGTCCTGCCCAGGAGGCCCCACCGGTGGGGTTCCCTGCACATTCACAAGAGTTGGGGTGGGAAGATTCCTGTCCCTGGAATTGTCAAGGTATTTAGGAGAAGGCCAGCATTACCACCTCTGATTCAATAAGCTCTTTGGATTCTAGAAAATGAGAGGGGAATCCCTCACCACTGAGAGTGGAAGTCATCCTAATTTGGACAGCTGTGGCCCTGTGACAAAGCTTCCCTGAGCCCCAAGGCCACGAGAGAGCTGCTCACAGACCATCTCTACCCGTCAACAGTTCCAGCTTCCCCACAGGGAACGGGCCAAAGAGTTGTTTGGGATGTTTTATATTTTGCTTGTTTGTTTTTCTTAACTTTTTTCCTTCTTTTGTTTTTCTAGGGATTTCCCTACAGCAAACAGCCCGATAATTGTCCTGGATCTCCCTTGCAATGCACTGTGCCCCTGTCTGAGGGAGGGCCAGCTGCCAGGCTATGTCCTTAGCAACCAGCTACTGGGCTTTTCTTTCTCTTTCCTCACACTAGAGTCCTGTGCCCTTCCTTGAAATTGCTAGGTGGCTTTATAGACATAAAAGTGTGAGCTGTGGAGTGTTCTGGTCACTCCATGCAGAACAGTACAGAAACATACAGAAGCTGGTTGGGTTCTGGGCTGCCCAAGGGAGGGAGGCAGGTCCTAACATTATAAAGGTCACATGAAGTTGCTGGTACTTTATCTGGGACGAGATGGAGATGTAAGGACCAGATTAAACCTCTTTGTATCTTCAGCCTCATCTTTCTAGGCAGCACGGTTGAAGATACCAGCAGGATTTAGAGTCGTCTTCTCCACCTGGGCCACACACTGGTATCATGGCATGGTTGTGCGTTGTGGTGGGAACTTCTGAGTCCTTTAGCTAGAGGAAGAGAGATCAGTTGATTTTTATTTTTATAGCTACTTCTTCTGATTTCACAGTCCCTCAGACCATGCTGGCCCAATGCTGGAATACCCTTGACATCAGCATCACCATGCCTCTCCTGGGGCCATGATGACAGAAGGAACCTCACTGATCCTTGCTGCTGTCTGCTGACAGGAATTATCTCAGACCAGCCGAGTTCCCCAGCATTCCTTGCTGAGGACAATCCACATTTCTTAGTTCTCTTCCTCATCACTCCTTCAAGAACACTGCCCGGACCAAAGGACTTGCTTTTGCGTAAGGGGTTAGATCTGGAGATGGAGAAAAGAGCAAAATACCCATGTGAATTTGAGTGTAGAAATCTGGCCTGAGGGAGAGATGGGTGTTGGCAGGAGACAGGGTGGGCAGGGAGGATGGGTGAAACCTTGGCAAAGATCTCACCAGCACAGCTCTTCAGAATGGAGGAAAGGAGGACCCCTGTGGGAGAAATGGGATTTTTGAGATGGCCAACATTTTTATTCCATACACTTCTGGAAGAGGGGAAAAACATAGCTCATAGTTCAAGAAACAAATAGATATAATATGAATACAATATGGAGAGTCTGAATGTAAGGTGAAAGGCACCACCTAACACCATCTTTCTGACCTGGCCTCTACAGACAAAGTGCCTAACCTTCCCAGTTATAGGATGTTGGTGATACACATCCAGCCCAGCAGAAATGTCCACCCTTAGCTTCTGTGCAAGCCCATTCTAGATCCATCTCTTTCTAGTGGAGCATGGGCCTGAGGAGAGGAGAGGAGAGGAGAACAGAGGTGAAGAGGGGAGAAGAGAGGAGACCAGACTCCAGCATGGGGTCTGGGAAGGGATCCCCAGAGGCTGTGCTGCTGCCTCCACAGCTTTTACTGGTGGACTCAATTTCACTGTTTTCAGCAGCCATCATCTTGCATAACCCTTAAAATGTGTTGATTGGGAAAGTGCTCCGGGCAGTGAAACTCTCCTGTTTTCTGTCTCCTTTTTCTTTGAAATGGAGATACAGATACAGATAGAGATAGAATGTGTGTCCTGTACCCCTATTAGATCCAAATCTAGCATTATGTTGTATACTTTTCACTACCTATTTTAAGCCATGAGATTTTTAGTGAGGGGAGGGGGCTGATGAGGGGAGGAGCTCAAGTACATAGTCATTTTCTCCTTATTGTTTCTGAGAATTAGTAGAAAATGGGTGAACAAAAGGAAGACATGGGTCTCAAGATGCTGTTGTTGCAGCACTAGTATTTATATATATATATATTTTTTTAAGATACTATTCCTCCCCTCACCAAGTAGTGGGAACAGCATGGTTTTTATTTGTTTGCTTGTTTTGGATTCAACAAGGTCTGGGTTCAGGTCCTTATTCTTGTACTTACAAGTCAGGTGAACTTGGGAAAGTGACTCAATATCCCAATTCTCTGAGCCTGTGACTCCTCATCTGTAAATTAGTTTGTCCGCAGGGTGAGAAAGAAGTGCACAGAGTTAAGTGTAAATCCCTCTACCTTGGGAGGTACTCAGTGCATGTTGCACCCCCCACCCCCACTTCTCATGTTATTTGGCCTGATTATTGCTTTTCAATTAATTGTAGTCTAATAAATATTTTCAAAGCACCTGATATGTGCTTTGTACCAAGGTTCAAGCGAAAATGAGATCTGATCCATCTCTTTGAGAGTAGCCTCATGCTAGAACAAAAGTAATAAATGGTCACAGAATGATTTGGAAGGTGCTACAAGCATGAAGGGAAACTGGACAAGGAGCGTCTGAGACCTATTGCAGATGGTAGGGGAGTGACGTAGGGTAAGAGATGTCCCTGAGGAGGTGACAACAGACTGAGAGAACTGAAGGGTGATGGAGTTGAGAGAAGGATGTTCTGGGAAGAAAGGCACAAGTGAAAGCATCCGTAGGGGAATGGCTATGGGTGCGTCAAGAGAGGAGGAGTGATGGGGAGTGCAGGGGTGAGGCTGGGTATGAGGAGCCCCGCTCAGGAAATGCAGTGGATGCTGCAGTTGGGAATTAACAGGAAAGTCGTGGAGAGCCCTGACAGCAGGTTAGGCTAAGGGGTGCCATCCTGTGACACTGGGTTTTAACAGAAGCATACCAAGCCCAATCTGAGGACTCCTTGACACAGGTTTCCTCTTCCAGATCCACAGAGTGGGGAGGACACTTGCTCTCTGACAATCTGAGTTTCTGCATCTCTAAAGTGAAGGCATTGGACTAGATGATGTCCCTGTTTCCTCCCTGCCTGAGCAGTGGTCTATGAGTCTACTATGGCGATGTCAGTTTTTCAGAACCTGTTTCATAATGCTTAAAGTCAACCTATTGAAATTGTTATGCTGGCATGATGGCCAACACCTAGTAAATATTTTTTCTATATGCATTTTACGTAAAAAATAGATTGATAAAATGTGCAATGGCATAGTGCTGTAAAATAGGAGTTAAGAGTTGTCTTCTTTGTAGTCTTGACTGGGTCAGAAATTGTTCATTCAAGTGATTGCATTTCTTTTGACCATTTATTCTGCTTTAGTTATAAAAATAGGTAAGCTGAGAGATAAGAGTAACATCTGACTCATAGAGTTCCCGGAAGTTTGGTCTGTGGATACCAAGACTTCTTGAAATGGCTAACAAATGGAGAACAGTTTCAATTTAAAAAGAGGTTATATACATTGAAGAAGTTCCCCACAAAAGCTAGGGGCAAAGGTCACTGTAACTTCATTTCTAAAACCAAATATGATTCAATCTGGAGTCTGCACCTACTTCCGTGTTCATTTCTCTCTAAATTACTATAACTTGTTTTTTTTAGAAAAAAGTATGAGTATTAAAATAAAAATGCAGAGACTATGCAAAACTCAAAACATCAGAAATAGAAAACGTGCATAATTACATTTAGACAGGGAAAAAAAAAAACTCATGTTAGACCCATAATTTCTATTTTGTCCCTAAAATAGCTGGATCCCTCAAACCATCTATGCTGCAGGTGACTTGGAAAGAAATATCCCTCATCATACATTAATATAAAACAAAGAGTTTTAAGAGTTTTCTAGGACTGAGGCAAAAATGAAATGAATTCCCACTCTAATAGAAAGTGATGTAAGGCATGTGAGCAAGGCCTTGGGGCAACCCACAAGGGGCATTAGTAGCTTTCTGGGAGCTGAAGTTGAAACTTGAAGGATATGAACATTTGCCAGGCATAGAAAAGCAGAAAGGATTTACCAGGGAGAAGAAACAGCCTCCCAGAAACTGCTAGAAGCCCTGTTGGCCTGGCTGGGGTGGTGAATGATGGGGATTAGCAGGTCAGCAGAGGGTGGAGGGACCTGGCTACCCACAGCCTTTGTCAAGCTGTTGGCAGTGGAGAACCAGGTACCAAACCATACTGAGTGGCTCAACCAAACCTCTGCTTTATTCCTGGACACACTGAAAAAAAAAAAAAAAAACTGGTGTTTAAAAGAAAAAAAAATCTTGATATACTAGTCGAGTAAGGCTCTATGAACATTTCTCCGAAAATTCTCATCATCTGCGGAAATCAAAAGCACCTTTTGGAATTCTTTCAGTGGTCTGTCTTAATACTTCTGGCGTTCTATGACTCCAACAATGGCAAAATCGTCTTAGCGCTCTACTTAGAAGTAGTTTGAACCTCTGTCCCCTGGAGGAAGGAATGCGTTTGGCCCTGCTGGACGCCTGCAGGAGGGCTCTGATGGGGACGGCCGCTGGATTCCCCCGCCCCCGCAGCCCACACCGCAGACTAGCTTTATTTAAACGGCGGATTGGCGCCATCCAGTGGACAAGTGCTAGAATACAACTTGGGGACTTGTAGATTTTTGAAGGGGGTCCAATTGAAATGTCAAGTTTCTGATCTGCCGTTCCCACCATTCTTTCCCTGTAAAGTTTAACAGCCATCCCAGGAAACAGGGTTTTGTTTTTATTTTTGTTTTTTCTTCTTCATGTTGAGGCAGCACACTGTGAGGAAAGCCTCAATCCTAAGTTTTCACAAACTAACTCAGTGACCTTGGATAAGTCTAGATCCTCTCTGAAACTGTTTGTTCACCTTCACCCATCTTAAAAAAAAAAAAATACTTTCATATTTTTAGTATCCACAGTTTTTCAGTGGCACAATTGTTTTAGTATTTCTTCATTGCAATTTATGATTCAAATTGGCATAAGTCCAGGTGGAGAAAAAAAATATTTCTGGCATCTTCAAACTTCAGAAAATGATTTACAGCTACCTGTCATTAATTTATACATCAACAGCTCTTGAATACATATTTTTAAGAATGTCTGAAAAACTTTAAACTAAAATTGCATAGTAGAAAGAGCTGACCTTTGCAGCCAGATAGGCCTAAATTTAAATCCCACACCTGCCATATTCTGTGTGACTTTGATAATTTACTCTCCTTCCCTGAACTTGCCTCCTCATAATTCCATAGAGATGGCACATCTTTCATGTGTCAGAGTCAGGGTTACGTGACATAACACCTGCGGAACAGCAGTCACTGGGACTGATACGCAGATGCCTCTGTTTAATGGATGCAACTGCTCCTGTTTCGTCTCTGCAGTTTTCCTATTTATCTTCAGCAAATCATCCTGCCCAGAGACCAGGACTCTTCTGCCAAATGAAGATCATAATTCATTCTTAAGGTTATACAGATGCAAAGACATAACCACCCCAAAGCACCTGGCACTTTATGGGTGTTTAACAAACACTAGTGTCTTTCTTTCTGAAAGTGCTAACCCATTGCGAATAATTATAATATTTGATATAAAGCTAAAATTGTGTCCATCCCATATTTACTATCTTCCTTTATTTTTCTTTCAAATGTACACACATACCCTTGTTACATTCCCACCTTATTTTTCCTGTCTTTTTCATCAAAAGTTAACACACCTGACATTTCAATTCAATTGCCAAGTGGGGTGGCACATGCCTATAATCCCAGAGACTTGGGAGGCAGAGCCAGGAGGGATCATAAGTTTGAGGCCAGCCTAGAAACTTAGTGAGGCCCTATTTCTCAAAAAACAAACAAACAACAACAACAACAAAAAAAAACCCACAAGAGCCTCTTAAAAAGGAACAGCAAATTTGTTGCAGAGTTGCCATGGTGTTTATCTATTCCTCTCACCAGAAGCATGGGTCTTTCTTTTGCACAGTTATGCACTCACCTATCCACATCCTGCTATGGTCACAGCTCCCTCTGCTTCAACCATAACAACACCAGATACTTACTCAGGTATCATCTCTCCACCCCCATTGGTCCTCCCTTCTAAAGTTTGCATCTCTCTAGTGGTAATCAGAGAAGTCTCCAAGGCCTCCTCCCCACAGCAAGAAAGACTGCCTCCATGTTCATGCTTCTGAACCACATCTTTCTGTAGGAAGAGATCAGAAAAAGAATTAAGGTATTTTGAGCATATGTTAATACACTTGACCTTGCTGTGACCTTTTCAAGTCAGTATTACTCTCTGCATTACAGATGAGGACATAGAAGATCTGTTCACTCCTTGATCAAACAAAATATTGCCAAGCTCTGGGAATGCAACAGCAAACAACAGACACAACCTTTTCTCTCAGATCCACAGGATTTTACAAAGGATGAATCCAAGAGGAGGAAGGAAAATAATAGATGAGTCCAATTGTGAAGACGGGTGCTATGAAAGGGTGGAAGAGGGGAATATGCCCCATCTCTGGGGTTAGAGAAAGTGTGCCTAAAACCGGGCATTAAGATCTGGAGGTTTGGGGAGATCACACAGGTGGGCAGTGTGTGACAGAAATAGGACTGAAATCCAGGTGAGCTTGGTAGCTCTGTGCTTCATAGCCTCTCCTCTGATAAATTCTTACATTGATGTCATGGTGCTTTGGCTTGTGATCCACACCTCTTTCTCCTCAATGGATTGCAGCTCCATGAATACAGCAGTCTTGTCTCCCAGGCATCTACGCAATATGAGTAATATGTATAAGTAAATGGTTGCTTAATTTTTCAATATATGCATTTGTATGTCATTTTCCAGATTTAATAGTATTATAGGGATGCAAAAGTGCCTAGATTCTGCGCTGTATATTGTTTCTTTAACCAACACATTTGTATGGTTTTAGAACATAACTCTCTCTGAGCACCTGGGCCCTTCCATGTCGAGCTCCTTTGATTCAGATGTTGCCTGCTTTGTAGGCCAAGGTGATTGGATGCAACTTGGAAACCACTCACTCATCTAATTAAAATAACATTGTCCTTGTCCTCCTGAAATGTTGAATGGCACAGAGCTCATTTTCAGCTTGCTACCCACACTATCCTTGGAGATGAAAGAGGAGTCCCTAGCTGGTGCCCAGTCTTGTGCTAGGGGTGGGGGATACAAAGGTGGAAGCATGTGTTGTGATATGAGAAGTGTTTCCTCTTCTGGACCCTTATTAATGTGCAGTCCAGTAGGGCCCACAGACATGCCCAGAACCCACACACACTCACAAAGGTTCCAAACAGTACACCCTATGCAAGGACCAGGTGTGCACAGGTGGAGGGAATGGATGTTTCCCCTGTGGTTGGTATCGAGTGCCAGAAGTTCTTTCAGGAAGGTGGAAGTCATCTTTTCTGAGTTGGGAAAATGAATGTCAATTAACCAAGTTAAAGAGGGGTAGGTGGGATGTGGCAGGAACTGGTCATAGGCAAGGGGTTCAGCCCATGCAGAATCCCAGAGGAAGAGAAAGGATAGCACATTTGGGATCCGTGAATGTCCGCAAAGGCCAGGTTCACGATGTCTATGGGTGAATGTCAGGTGACTGCACGTCAGACACTTTTGGTACAGTCTTCATTTCCATGAAGAATGTCCTCTCTCCTGCTTTTTATTGACTTCTACATATTGAAATTATTCATTTTTCCAACTTTGACTGAAACTTAGCTAAAGAGAAGTTGTTCTCTAACAATAGCTGTCCAAATCCACTTATCATATCGGTTGGCAAGTGATACTTCCCTTGGGGACACAACTGAGAATGTGGGGGAGGACTGGGGCAATCTGGAGAGCATTTTTTTCTGTCTGAAGAGGACAGACATTCTTCAACTCCAGCTTCTCAGTGGCTCCAGATCTTTCAAAGTTTCAGAAAAAGCAAGCAACTTGGATTTTTGGCAAGACAGTAAAACTCTTTAAACAGTACCTTAATTAAAGAAAATACATAAATAAATAAGTCTGTGGACTGAATGGAACACATCCTCATGCTGAACCTTATTCATGGGCCATGCTTGCAACCTGCAGGTCCTGAGAGTTCAGAATCCTCATCCCATCATTGCTGTGCTTATAGTTTCTTCTAACCACCCTTCTTTCCTTGCTTTCCAGAAAGAGATGACGAGCAGGATGTGTCACTAATGCTCCATCTCGTCCTTCGGAAGAAAGGAAAGCCGTTTCCTCCTGGAGCCCCAGGTGGACAGAAAGCGGACCTCCCTGGATGAAATGGTGCACCTACTTCCCGGAGCAGAAGAGGTGGAGTCGATCAGTGACCCCTGAGAGACACGTTCCCCACTCACTTCATGTGCTCTTAACCCTCTGAGTGCTGCTAGACCAGACCTGTGGACCAGAAGACCACAACATGGAAGAAGGACCAGCCCTTGACCCTTCCGGCTCAGGAATCGTCCAGGAGGGGCCTCTGCACTTCCGTGCATGTCATGGTTCTGCCTGTGACCTGCCGCCTAAGCTTTACTGGAATTCAGGTTTTAAGACTGAGATGTTTATTAGGACCTTTCCACTTACCTGTCTTGTCAGCCGGTTGACTTTTCGGTCATTTGCTTTCTTAAGTACCAAGTAAATTTGGGAACTTTGGATACACAGCAAGTTTTTCTATAACAAGCCTTCCTTTTGGGTCTCCGAAAGCTCCCACTCTGATCCTGTGGCTTCACATTCTGCAGGGCTGTGGAGCTGTGAGATCTGAAGCCCATCTGGCAGCATCCATGCCATTTCCCTAAGAAGCAGTTCTATCAGGGACCACTCCAGGGCCTGGCTTGTCTCTGTTCCAAACAGGGTCTTCACAATCTAACTCCAGGGAAGAGACTGGCCACTCGCAGAAAGCTAACAAGTTACCAGTTTGCCCTGATCAGAATGTACTTTTTTTTTTTTTAGTAAGCATCATTCCTTGACTCTCCTATTGATATTCTTTCCTGTTTCCCAGAAAAGAGAAATGAAAGAAAGTTACAAATGACCAAGAATGGTCAGTAAGATCCCTGAGCCACAATAGTGCAGTGTTTGTTCTGTAAAGAGCAGGGAGTCCTGGCTGGACAATTGGTTATTTGGTGTATGTCAATGATACACCCTTCTCTGTTGATTTGTCACCTTACTCACTGGCTCTCTGAGCTTGAAACTCAACCAGTCTTTCTCCTCTGCCATGTTATGTTATGGCACAAAATTAACTTCTGGAAAGTCCCATTGATTGTGCCCAGTTACCAAGGTGGCAGTAGAGCTGGAGCTAACTGCATTATTCCATTTTTCCCCCAATTTTTCTCTTTCAGTAGACAGAATAACACCGTCTGCACTGTGCCCTGCCTTTTGAAACCTAACATAGTTGTAATTGATGAAATGTTGACTTCTCTGATTCATTCACAAAAACTGTGGTCCTGTCAGCCCAGCCTGTGACGAGGGGGTAATAATACTTCCAGTGATATTTGAGTGTAATGAATTATCTGTTGGTGGAGGGAAGTAGATAAGAATGTATTAGCACACTTAATATAATAACAATTAAAAGAGAAATGAGCGACTCTGGTTTCCTTTTATTATACATAATGTGTTAACATCATTTGTGGCTGTCACAAAAGCCTAGAGGGCATGAAATTTCTGTCCAAACCAAGAAAGGGCTGACTGTGTGCACAGTGGCCTTCGACACTGACCCAACCACAGATCCTTGCTTCCTATCTTATAAACATTGTCTCATGGAACCCAAATGCTGCTACCTCTCTCCATGTTGTTCACGCTGGTCAACAATAAACTTTCTTTTTTCTCTTAAGTAACTTTGAGAGGCCAAGATAGGCAAAAATTCTTCTCATTCTAACTTTTAACTGGGGTGGAGGGAAACTGTCTTAAGGATACAGAGGAAACAAGAGCCCCTAATTCCTGAAATGTGTAATGGAAGGCTAGAATCTGAAGACATTTGTCATTAATAAAGTTGTTGTCTACTAACTGTATGAAATAAATTTAAACATCCAAACATTTTTTGTACTTCTTGAAACATTCTCCTCATGGCTATGTTGCTAATTGCACTAATCAACTCTTCTAGAGTAAAAACTGCTCTTGTATTTTTTTAATTACAGGATGTTCCTATTCCCACAGAACTTTGTTTGGCAAATTCTAAGGAAAGTCTTCATAGAAAAAAAAATTTAACTCTTTGGCCTGATTTTGTCTTCCACAAATCTCTTACTGCAAATGGAGAATCTGAGCTTCTGGAAGGCTCAGATTTCTCCATTCCTCGGGGTCAGAGACAGGCAACCCTGCTTCTTTCTCCCAACCTGGTCCCCTCTCCTCCTTGTTTTCCCACTTGGGTGGGAGTAGGGGGAGTGAAAATTTCAAAGTTAAAAGATAATAATGAGTATCCATCCTTATGCCCTTAAATGCATCAATTAACATTTTGCTCCATTTTCTTTCTTACCATAAATACATGTTCTGAGTGCTCAATCATTTGAAAATAAGATGTAGACATCATAAAACTTTAAGATTCTTCATCAAGCTCCTCTTAATATGACCCTTGCCCTGATCATCTTCAGTGTCATTATCACCTCCAAGAAACTGAACATCAACACAATCCCTGTTTGAAATTCTTCAATTGACTCAAAATATTCTTTATGGTTTATTTTTTTAAATCTAGGATTCAATCAAGAATAACACTTTGCCTTTTATTGCTTTTCTCTCTAGATAATGGACCAGAGTTTCCCTTTTGTGCATACGTGTGGTGAGGTGTGTTTGTGGGGCACTGTGTTGTGTTATGTGTATATGGTGCAGTGTGTCCATCAGTTCATGACTCTGACATCATCATCATTATGAACATTATTATCATTTTTCCTACTGGGTGTTGAACCCAGGGACACTTTACCACTGAACAACATCCTCAGTTCATATTTAAAATCTTTTTATGTTGAGACGGGGTCTTGTTAAATTGCTGAGGCTGACCTTGAAATTGTGATTCTCCCATGCCAGCCTTGCAACTTGCTGAGATTGCAGGCATGCACCACTGTACCCAGCTGACTGACATTATTAAAGAATTCGAGCCACTTTACTCGTGGAAGTCCCACAATCTGGAGGATTTTGTTTGGTTGGTTTCCTGATTATGCTCTTTTTTTTTTTTTTTTGCAAGAATACTATGTAAGTCAGGTTGTTTCTTCCTATTATATCACATCAGGAAGCACATGTCTAACATCTCTTCATAATATTAAGAAGGATCAGCGGCTGCAGGTACTATCTATCTGGTCCAACCGTTATCAACGTCTATGATTCATTATTAAGCTCTGAAATTCACTAAGCCTAGTTTTTATAGAGGGTGAAGCTATACATGTAAGCATCCATTTCTTAATAACCAGAGTCCATGATCCCCAAAGAGAGTACCCACTGCAGTTAGATGATATACCAGTGGCAAAAGATTCACATCTTTCCATTTAACAGAAGGAAGAGAAACAGGACAGTGGCCTGTCATGTGGGCAATATGTGGGCATCCTGGCTGATGAGAATTTGTATGGTCATATAGCCAGAGTTGAAATACGTGTAACATTGTATCCTCCTGTCCTTAGTGACCTCCCACTCAGACCCATGGTTTATTCAGAGAACCTTCTTGTTGAGAGGGATTTCCAAATGTTTCTCGGAGGGAGAATCTTAGATCTTATAATATGTTGTAGCCCTCCAAAGTACCACAGCACATAATCAGATACGAAGTATTTATGTGGTATTAAAATCTTATGAAGGATGGAATAAGGGGTGGGAGGACATGAGTAGGAGTAAAATGCCAAAAAAGTTCCTCAGTAGAAAAATAATGGGGGGAAAAAAAAGTAGATTAAGAAACACTCATCTAGAGTCATTCCTGCTCCTTGGGTTGTCAATTTTTTCTTCCCTGAGTATTTTCTGATTTCTTAGGACCCAGAGTCTTAGATTCAGGATGAATGGGAGGAGCTTTGAGAGATTTCTTAATCCATTCCTTCTACCTCCCAGGCCATGTCAGTGACATTCCCATTGAAAATCTGTTCTCCTCTCACAGATCTCCAGGCATAGAAACTCTGCAGCATCCTCTGGTAGAACCTACTGAAACTCCACAATATCTGAAATCCTTCCACTTTGATTCCAGCAAAGTACTGTTTGAATTTCAGCACATCTTTTCTGTGTCCCATCTTTAAAAAATCCAGGGACAGTTCAGCATTAGTAATTACATAATAAAGAGAACTTCCTTTGCACATCTGTGAAGTTTTTCAAGATTGTTTCCAATGGTCCTTCAATCTTGTTTCCTTTAGAGTTCTCCCAACGACAGCACCTTCTTGGCTGACCTGTTGGTACCCATTTCTATTGTTCAACTAAGAAAGCTTCCCAAAGCTCTTCCCAAGTTTGCATTATGAATGCCACCAACTATAATAAACCTGATAAGAAATTAGTTCATGCCTTCTAGAAACTCTGTTGTGTCTTTGTTAAGTCCTGACTTTCTTTTTATACACTTATAGAATTTTAAAAGAAATTAAGTATCCATACAAAACTCTTCCCTATGTTATAACCAACCATTTTGGCTATCCTCCCTGAATTTTCTTTCTTCCTATTTTTAACATTAGATTACACTGCTTGGGTTGGGTTGTTGTTTTCAATCGCCTCTTTAACAGGGAAAACATGAAGGAACTAGAGTTCCACTCATCTCTTTGTGGTGGTTTATGCCAATCTATCAGTGATAGAAGCACATCACTTCCTATGGTCTCTAACCTGGTGTCTCTTCCATACTCGATGAGTATCATGCTGTAAGGGAAAAAAAAAAGTTGTAGGAAAAGTATGGCCATGTCTTCAAGAAATGGTAGAAAGGCACAATTAATAAGGGGAGAGGGAGATGTCATCTGGATAATAGCGTTGTTCCTCTTGCTGTGATCACTTTGGTTTGAAGAAACTGGTGATTCTTAGAATTAGCCAAACAAAGTGTGTTTTGAAATAATGATTGCTTTCCTGCTTTAAAAAAATATATCAGCAAAACACTTTTATAATAGACTCTTTCCTTCTGGGCAGGTATTAACTCTGGGTAAGAATTTTCAGTGACATTATGTAAGGATTTGTATAATATAGAGGGAAGAGTCCAGTTCTAATCAAACAATTAATCTGTCATACCAGCTTCTTGTGTACTGATTCCAGAGTTTTCTTGTATCTTTTTTACCTACTTCTGGAAAAAAAAAATGTTGACTATATTTTTAGTTCCATTTGTTATTAAGTTAAGGGTTTGGCTATAAGAAAGATAGACTAACACAATTAAATCAATTAGAAAAGCAAGATAAAACTAAAGGATATTTATAAAATCAGTTCTATGTGGGCTTAGAAATTCAAATGTCATAAATAAAAGACATGTAACCATCATCTGGTCTGCCTTTCTTTAATGCTTGACTTATTTATTTTATTTAATAATATTTAATTAATATCTATTTTATTTAATTTCTTCATCTTAAAACTGTCCTGGAATAGTTGAATAAGAGGAAAAGTAAAAATTCTACAAAACATAATTCAAAATTTATTTGAAAACACATATGTACATATTTGTATTTAGCAGAAGTATCTTTATCCTATTATAGAATTTTCTAAGAGGCATCAAGCATATAGTTTAGTTTCTCAACAGATTGTGTTAGACATACTTTTTTTCTTGTAGTAGGATTTAATATTAATTTGATGATAACCCAGTATATAAAGATAATAAAACCAGATCATAGAAAAAGTTCATTGATCGGGGCATGCAAACTCTATTTTTAATCTCTGGCTGGCCAGTATGTTACTTGTTTTTTAGGTAGTTTGATTGTCCCATGCCTGAACTGTACACCGGGATTATAGATTTGTTCATATAATAACTTAGTTTAGGAGAATAAGGAAACATATTTGAAAAACTGGTAGTAAATATATATATTTTTTCAGGGATATAAGGATTTGTCTAACATAGGGAGAAGCAGAGTCCATTTCTTATCAAAACAATTAAGCCTGTCATACTAGCTTCTTGTGTTCTGATTCCAGAGTTTTCTTGTATCTTTTTTATATATGTCTGGGAAAAAAAGTGTTTATTTTTAAGTTTGTTGCCATTTAAAAACTGGGAAATTTGACATGTAAAAAATCAGAAATTTGGGCTTCTCTTGTAAAATCAGATTTGGCAATACCAAGCTTTTTTTCTCATGGGACAGAAATTGGCTGAAAGGTGGCTGAATCACTGAGACAGCATATATGCTCTTCAATTTAGCCCAGTCCCACCTGTACTTGTCTCCCAGCTGTGAGGCTGACTGGCAGTTAGTGTTTCTCCTTTCACTACGAGTTTGCTCTCATTTACATCTCAAGTTGCAACCCATATTACAGCCTGTCTGCAAAGATCACCTATTAATTTTTGAACTCACCCCCATTGAATATCTGCCATATTCTTAATTTTTTTTCTAGCAACAACACTGTATTAATGATGACAAATGAAAAAGCCATAGAAGAAAATAAATTCAAACCACCCAACAAAAATCAATACTCCCATAGAAACTCAGTGCCTTTGTAGAAATTAAAGTGGTAATTAAATCTGTCTAGTCTTTTAATTATCATAAATGTTAAACCTTCAACTCTACTTTCAAATAAGCTTCTTCACTATATTGACCCAAATGATAAATAAATGTCATTGAAAAGAAGTGGGAGTATTATTTATATATTTTATCTAGGTTTACTTTCACTAAACAGATTTTGGTAGAATATGATGTTTTAACTAAAACATCTCATGGTTTTAACTAAAATGAGATGTTTTAGTTAAAAACAGCTCATTGTTTTAATGTTGCATTCATCATCTTATTGAGTTTTCATGAAGACAAAACCAAGCAAAAATTTCTAGTATTTAATAGATTAAAAGCTAAATGAAGCCAGCTCAGTGGCATATGCCTGTAATCCCAGTAACTCAGGAGGCTAAGGCAGGAGGATCGCAAGTTCAAAGCCAGCCTCAGCAATTTAGTGAGGCCCTATGCAACTCAGTGAGATCCTGTCTCTAAATAAAAAATACAAAAAAGACGGGGGGTGCTGGGGAAGTGGCTCAGTGGTTTAGTGCCTTTGAATTCAATCTCTAGTACAAGAAAAAAAAAAAGCTAAATTAGGAAGTCAACCTAATTAAACTTTGTTTTTATATGTGGCTATTAGACTAAGTTTAATATCTGTTCTACAGCAGATGATATCATATGTTTGAGATCTGTCTTCACATATTATCAAATCAGCAATTGAGAACAATCTACACATTTTCAAGAAATATATAGAACATACAGGACAATGAGTATGAATAAGATTCTGTGTTTATTGGGATAACATTCCACATTCCCCACAACTGTGCATATCATTCTATGATATATGTCTTTGCATTTTGTATTGCCAAAAACTTCTTGATAGCTGATATTCACAGGTGGCAGAAGCCTTTAGTGAACTGACAGATTCTGATTTATTTATCTAAAATTAAACTATCTCACTTAGGGCTCTTCCTTTTCTTTTCTTTTTCTTTTTCTTTTCTTTTTTTTTTTTTTTGTACCAGAGATTGAACCCAGGTGTACTTAATCACTGAGCCAAATCCCCAGCCCTTTTTATTTTTTTATTTTGAGACAGCCTCTTGCTAAGTTGCTTAGGACCTCACTAAGTTGCTGAGGTTGTCTTTGAACTTGTGATCCTCCTGCCTCAGCCTCTGAGCCACTGGGATTACAGCATACACTACCATACCCAATTTCACTTAGGACCGTCTTGATCAGGAGTATAATTATGTAAAGGTACAACAGAGATATTTGGTCCACATGAGTCTATATGAAGGCAAAACCTTGTTATGCTTAGAACTTTTAGTCAGGATAAAGTCAAGTTGGAGAAGGTCACATTGGCTGGAAAATAAGGAGCTGAGTTTCTGTTATGCTCTGGATATAGGTGCCCCCCATCCCCAAGTTCCTGTGTTAATGAAGAAATATTCAGAGGTAGAATGACTGGATTGTGAGAGCTGTAATCTTA